ACGTTATACTAGAATTTCGTCTATCTGATATTCATTCTAAGTGTCTATGAAGTCGTCGATTATATTCTTTTCAATATTTCAGATGAAGCACGATGATGAAGACTTTCGGGTTATGTATCGTGAAGGACCGAAGGGCACTCCATTTCATACATTACTTGTTGAAGGCTTTGTAGATGGCCCGGTTGATATTTGTAAGCGTTACTGACGAACATTTGACTTTACCCTGAAAAGTTTAATCTGTTAAAAGCTCAATGTGATTGATGATCTTTCACACAACTCCAATTTGCTTGTTTGCAGGCTTGTGCACCTCGTGGGAATCTGAACTTTACAAAAGATGGTGAGCGTCATCTCTGATCTTTTGTGCATATTTTGGAAAACATGTGTCTACTTGTCCATGCCTAACATAAATATGGTCCATCTATGATTGCAAGCATGTTTTAGCTCGCACGTGCGCACACACACAAAAGGTTTGCTTATTTGGTTTTGATTTTTTGTATGGGCTTCCGGGTGATTGAGACGGTGTTTCTTATTTGAAAAGATTTGAGATCCCACGTTGGTTGGGGAGGAGAACGATACATTCTTTATAAGGGTGTGGAAACCTCTCCGTAACAGATGTGTTTTAAAAACCTTGAGGGGAAGTCGGAAAGGGAAAACCCAAAGAGGACATTATTTTCTAGTCTTGAGCTTAGGCTGTTACAAATGGTATCAGAGCTAGACACTGGGCGATGTGCTAGCGAGGAGGCTGAACTTCGAAGGGGGTGGACACGAGGCAGTGTGCCAGTAAGGACGCTGAGCCCCGAAGGGAGGTGGGTTGGGGGTCCCACATCGATTGGAGAAGGAAATGAGTGCCAGCGAAGATGCTGGGTCACGAAGGGGGTGGATTGTGAGATCTCACGTTGGTTGGGGAGGAGAACAAACATTCTTTATAAGGGTGTGGAAACCTCTCCCTAGCAAATGCGTTTTAAAAATCTTGAGGGGAAGTCGGAAAGGGAAAACCCAAAGAGACATTCTCTGCTACGGGTGGACTTGAGCTGTTACAAATGATATCAGAGCCAGACACCGGGCGATGTGCCAGCGAGGAGGCTGGGCCCCGGAGGGGGTGAATTGGGAGGTCCCACATCGATTGGAGAAGGAAATGAGTGCTAGCGAGGATGCCGGGTCACGAAGGGGGGTGGATTGTGAGATCTCACATTGGTTGGGGAGGAGAACAAAGCATTCTTTATAAGGGTGTGGAAACCTCTTCCTAGCGGATACGTTTTAAAAACCTTGAGGGGAAGCTCAAAAAGGAAGGTCCAAAGAGGACAATATCTGCTAGCGGTGGGCTTGGGCTGTTACAAAAAAAGTCTCATTTGTATCGTAGCGTAATAAACGGTGAAATTTACATGGCATCAGCCATAGCGGAAGTGCTGAGTAATATGAGTTCTGGATCAACTCTAACAATGAATGGATTAAATGACGTTTGTAGGAGTATTAGTCACTGGTTTCTTCTTTCCACTGTTCTCCCTCAGGTGGCCTCAATTTACTGTGCCGTCTTTCAAAATTCTCACCAGCAAATGTCTTCAAAAAGTCCGGATCGGTGAACAGATCGCATTAGTAAGGTTTGTCTAGCTATACAACCAGCACTTATATACGTGCACGCGCACACGCACACAAACGCACCCGCTATCTTCATCCTGTCACATCTGTTTTGAAATACTGAACTTTTATTCTTTTGAAAGCAAGGGTTAAGGTTTCATGGCCGCTGTCAACCAGGGAGATCATCGTGCACTACTTTCTTTTCGAGTACTTTCAGGATGACCTTATCATCGTACTTCTAAACTCGGTAATTGGTTGAATAAGATCATGGGAGATCAGTGTGCACTACTTGGAAGTTGATCGCTCCCTAAACCATTTTTTTTGTTTCGTTACAGATATCTGATTTGGACAGCATTGATATAACAACTCATGGATTCACGAGGCACGCTATCCCGGATGCAGAAGATGTAGTTAGGATCGATGTCGTGGGAGGCTTTGCTATACAGAAGGTGACAGATAACAGGAGCTACTTCCGGTGAGGGGTTTCTTTCTTTCTTTTTTATTTACAACGATAATTTGCTAATCCAAGTTAAACATAAACGTATCGGAAATTGATGTGCGGTGGGTTGATAAGGACTGGTACAATATCGACATAGACGATTACTTTTTAATCTTTATTAACAGCAAGGACTATTGTATTGATAAGTTAAACATTTAAATTCTATCTCAAATACATATCGTCCTTGTTTGATCTTCGTCTTCACAATCCGATCCTGGAAGAGATCCTTTTTCGTTACCCCGTTGATATCGTTTAGAACTTGAACAGTGAAAAATCTCGCAGGACAATAGCAAACATGGATATGAAGCTGGATTTCATCCCTCCGTCACTTATAAACTTCATCTCGAGGCAACTCATCGGCAGTGGTTTCCGACTCTATCAAAAGGTAATACATTGTTCTACCGATATATGATTCGAACCCAAAATAGTCGGGCCGTGTTCCTCAAAAACCATATTGTCATCGATGCTTCTAGTTACCAAGTCTTCCACTTTTGTCTTAAAATTCCAATTGTTAACACTATTGCAGGTAGTGGCTTCAATGTTCAAATCTGATGAAGATTTTATGAAGGCCTTGAAAGACCCACTGTACATACATATAAACGAAGCTCTCTACCGGAAGAATCAACACGATAAAGCGTTCGAAGAAAAACAGCTCGGTTCTCCAACTGATAAAACTGGAATCCATCCTTTTCCAGAAGAGCAGCCGGAGAACTCGAGGGAAGAGCTGCAGGAGAACTCGAGGGAAGAGCTGCAGGAGAGCTCAACGGAAGAGCTGCAGGAGAACTCGACGGAAGAGCAACCGGAGAACTTGATGGAATATCAGAAGGTTAACGTCGAGCCCGCCAAAGCTGTTATGGAAGCTAATGAGAAAGAAACTTTTGGGGAGATTGAAGAGGAAGAGAGCAATAAAACTGTCATTTTAGGAAGAACTGTTGCAGAAAACTGTAATTTTAAGGATCAAAGAATCTCTATAATCAGTCCAGAGGTAGAAAAGGCTCTGCAAACTTTAGATGAGGTTATTAATATGATGAGGAAAGGAAGATTCATCGGTGAAGCAAAGGCTGGTTCTTGCTTGAGTGATGAAAAGCCTCCAGATATAGAGAAGGATACCGAAAAGAACTCGGGTACTTCTGAAGATCGAAATGTTCATCCGAAAGTCGAGCTTTTCGCTAGCTTGTCAAGGAAACAAACAGCCGAGAGAGCTTCCGACGAACAACCTCGAACGAGCTCTAACCATAGTTCAAGGTAATAGCTCTGACTGGTTTCTTGACATTATTCTCTGAGTTTGTTCTTGAAGCATCTTGGTTCTTTCATGGTGATTATGGCCATTATGATTGTTTAGCCAATGATGAATTTTGTAGCCCTCAAGCCACCGGGTTGACCCGGAAGGCGGAGTTCTATGGTCGAGGTGAAGGACCGTTTTAAGTATTGCAAAAGAAACGTCCTGTGATCCAAGGCGGAGGGTAAATCTAGACTTGGGTTATAAGTTCAAACTTCGTTACCAACTACTGATAACTTTTTTCTCGAATTCAAATCATTGTTCCACGAGATTAGTCGAGCGTGCACCGAAAACAACTCTGATTGTCCATTTTACAGGTGTCTCGAGCGGGGCGTAGAATTGAAATTTGTCTGAATTTGCATAATCAATTGTATTGCAGGCGCTTAGGATCATCAAATTCTTTATCCAAGGATGTGAACCACAACAAAATAGTTCCAGCATCTCCAGAACATAAATGTTTACCTCTTGAACCTGCTGAAGTTAACCACACGACGTCGAGTTTCATAGAACATGGAACGATAGAAAACGCACATTCGGATCAAAATTCGCATAATCCTGATAAGCAACCAACCAGTGAGTGTCATGGCATCGACGAAATCAACGGAGATTCAGCGGAGAGGTACGTAAGGAATAGAAAGAACCGGTTCTGGTGTTTTCCGGGCAGTCCGATACGGCTGAAGAAGGGAAGAAGTTGAAATTCAGATGAAGGTGAAGCAGAAACTTTAACTTGTTTCTAAACCTGTAAAAATAGTAATAAATCTCAATCTGGCTGAATTTTTTTGGTTTCTTTTTGTTAATTCTATACTTATTTGCTTTAGCTTTCTTTCTTTATGTGATTTTAGCTCAGAATTTTCCGTGAATCCGACTAATATGAAAATAGGGTTGCAATTCAATCTTATCCTATCATATTTTTAAGATTATTACGAGGATTAAGAATATTTTATACTTGTAACCGATGTTCGTAATATGTTGTATCGTATGAATGTTTGATACTTGAGTCCTATACAATTTTAGTTATTAATGTAATATGTATCGTGGATAAATGATATATTTTTTAAAATAATTAAAAAAGTGAACAACCCACTAACTAAATTCAACCCAACCCGGACCGAAAGTATAAGGTTGAGATGAGTTGTGAACTCTATTTGGGTTCATGTCACTATCCTAACTCGAAACTAGAGGGTTGGGTTGGGTTGTGAACTCGGGTCAGATCACCAACTCAACTAATTCGAAATTTTGAATTTATCTAAAAATATTCTTAAGTTAAATTTTAGTATTTATTTAAATAAATACTAAAATTTTAGTTTATTACACAGTAATTGTATAAAAAAATATAAAATGTTCAAGAATTTATTAGATATAAAATTGAATGAGATTAATTTTCATTTTTTGCTAAATAAAATTTAAAAATTAAAATTTAGTTTCGGTTGTAAAAATTAATGAATTGATTAAAAAAAATAAAAATATTTATTGAAACTAAAATTATAGGTAGTAAATTCTTATTTTTTTATCTCATTTAACAAAATATTTATTTATTCCTATAAGTTCAGAAACTTTAACACATTTCTCATTTTTTGTCATCTTCATTCATGTTTCCTTCCCTTTTACCCTATACTTCACCTCCGCCTCGAGCATTCTTGAGTAAGCATTTCTTTTTCAGTTCATCGCGCAACTCCAATTTGATTCTGCTTCTGTTTATCGAAATTATGAGCTTCACGTTTATTCAATCACCCAATTACGCCTTTTCATCATTTCGGAAGAATGTAGATTCTTTTTTCTGCTGAAAGCAAAATTTCTCCGGCAGTTTTTGGTGTCTAAAATCGATGGATTTTATCCATTCTAGATTTCAGCCAAAATAACTTAAGTGGGGCAAGTGTTTTGGATTTGTTTCATTACTTTCAGTTTATATTTTTCTCTGTTTCTTACGATTTGATTTCTTAAACTTGATAGTTAGCTGTCGAAGTGCAAGGAAATCATATACTTTATGAACTGTTTTGCAATTTTTGATATCTGGGCATGACTGATTTTGCTTGGATGTCTAGTAATTTCATATATATTCAATATTTGGTGTTGGGAGTTGAATGAACTATTTGATTTGTAGGATTAAATGTTGCTTTATTGTTAACTTGTCGATACTTTGAATGTATGAATATAGAGTGTTCTTCTGTTAAAAGAAGTAAAGATGGTGGAGCTTAGTATTGTGATCTGAATAGGAAGAAATGTTGACCCTGCTATCTCTGTTTGGTGCACCAACTAATTAGCTATCTATTGATTACTTTTAATTAACATTTCCCTCACTCCTTTTCAGGAGTTACACAATGGTAATCTCGTGATAATCTTGAATGGCTGCAAGGCTCATGCCGTCGACTCTTATGAAGAAATTTCTCAAAGGGGTTAAACCAAATTCATGCTTATCTCCAATTCTTAGTGGTAATTATGTTGATTCTTTCCTGGAAAACAATCAGAGTAATCCAAGGTTAGAAGAAAGTACACAATCCTTGAACAATAAGTTCGTCTTAAACAACTCGGTCAAAGGTTTGGATAATGAAAATAACCTGAACTCAGAGGTAGAAATCTTCAAATGTTTGGCTATCCAGAAGGGATTTTCCCATACGGTCCAAACATATTATGTGACGATTCTCAAGCAGGGTTTGGATGGGAACGTTGAGGAAATGGATAGGACATGTCAAGATCTCGTGAAGGATGGGTGTCTGGGTGTTGAAGAAGTTATTGTCACTTTGGTTAATGCCTTTGTTAGACATGGTAGAACCAGAGAAGCACTTCGGGTACTTCCTCATGTAAACTTGGTTGGTTTAAAGCCTTCGATAGAGACATTTAACGTTGTATTGGCTGTTTTCGTTGAGGAGAACAGAGATATTGAAGAGGTTTTATTTGTTTACAAAGAGATGGTGAAAGCTAGCATTGTACCAAATGTTGACACATTAAATTTTCTGTTAGCTGCATTGTTTCATGCTGAACAAATCAAGACAGCCATGAACCAGTTTAGGAGAATGAGCAAGAAAGGATGCGTTCCTAACAGTAAAACCTTCGAGATTCTCTTAAATGGTCTAATTACACGAAATCTAGTGGATGAAGCTGTTTTAGCTTTGGGTATATTATACAAAATTGGGTGCGAACTCGATTTGAGCTTTTATACATGTGCAGTATCTTTATTTTGTAGGGTAGACAGAATAGATGTTGGAAGCTGGTTGTTTAGAATGATGAAAGCTTCCAATATTATACCAGATACCTTGATTTATAGTACTCTAATACAAAGTTTGTGCAAAAATCTATTATTAGATGAGGCATCATTTCTGCTCGAAGAGATGGTTGAAAGTGGTTTGATGCCTGAAGACAATGTATATGTTAGTATTATAAAAGTTTTTTTTGAGCTTGGGAAAACCGATGAGGCTATAAAGTTTGTGAAAGATAGATGTTTTTTGTTCACTTCTCCTCACAACGCATTGCTTGAAGGTTGCTGCAATGTTGGAAATATCTTAATAGCAAATCGTGTCTTAGGACAAATGTCGAAAATGAGTATTGATGATTGTAAATCTTGGAACATAGTTATTGGATGGTTGTGCAACAATGCAAGAATTGGAAAAGCTTTTGAATTCCTAGGTAAAATGATTGTGTTGTCATTTGTGCCTAACAAGGACACATATGCAGCTCTTATAATTGGAAATTGTAAATCCAGGAGGTACGAGGCTGCATTACAGTTAATGAACGAGGTACATGCTAGATGTTGGGTTCTTCATGCTGGATGTTATTCCGAGCTTATCGAAAGCCTTTGCCAAGCCAAAAGGACTCTTGAGGCTGCAGAAGTCTTTTGCTACATGTCTAAAAACAGATACCCTCTTCATCCTTCTTTATTTGATACATTGATCAAAGGGATATGTGATTTAGGACATATCGATGAAGCTTTAGTGCTGCTACAATTGGCATGTTATGCTGGTACTTCTTGTAAAACCGTGACGTATGCTTCTATCGTGTATGAGTTGTCTAAATCTAACAAGGCAGAGATTGCCTTACTAGTCTTATCACAGATGCTGGTGTTGGGCTATAGCCTTAATTTGGAGACATACTGCATTTTCATACATAGTTTTTGTGCCATGAATCGGGTAAAGGATTCTATAACGCTTTTCAACCGTATGGTCAATGAGGGCCTTCTACCTGATTCAGAAAGACTTCATGATTTATTGTTATGTATAGCTGATCATTCTCAGCTACATATGATTTTGACTACAATTGATAAACTTATTGCACATACTGACCTTGTAAATACTGCTACTTACAACTTGCTTATCAATGGGCTATGGAAAGAGGACAGAAAATATGAAGCATGTAAATTGTTGGACTCGATGTTGGAAAAGGGGTGGGTACCGGATGCTACGACTCATGGATTGCTGATTGGCTCTCTAGTTAATGAGAATTCGGTCATTGAGGATAATGTAAGCAGCATACTTGTTGAGGGCCTAGGGAATACATGAGAACCGACTTTCACAGGAGAATGCCATTTGATCCATCGACGATCGAAGGCCTGGGGTGCCATTTGATCGATTTATGGTTCACATGTATCATTAATGCTGGCCTCTTTGATTGTTTGACTGTAAAGACATTTCTCAAGCTTTCTCCTCAACACTTATCCCCCCTTATAAATGAGCAATGTCAAATGAGCAAATGGATACAACCGGATCCTCTCTCCACAAGCAGCAACAGAAAGAACAGTTTTGAATTAAAAGGTGAGTTTGATTTCTTCTTATTGTTTTTTGAGTAATATCTTAGTGTGTGGCTGATAAATGTAAGTGAAACTGGGTGTGGGTAGCTGATAAGTTAGCATATAAGCTAATGGTACATTTTCTCCCAAGTTCGCCGCCAGTATTAGCAACGAGATCCGCGAAAATTGCACCCTTTTATGCATTTTCCCTGGTGAACCTGGAATTTCTAGAAGAACTTTATTTGTTTGCCATATCTTCGCCAGGTGTTTATGGAATTATTATTGCGGGTTGGTCTAGTAATTAGGGGGCGGCCGTTCGGTCGCCTATGATACTAGGACCAATAGGTCAAAAATGGGTTTGTGCCGCAGGTGTTGAATGATCTACTCTACACAGGTGTGGGCTCATAAACCCTTTCTTTCATTCATCAATAGGGTCCTCGTCGGTCACTTTTCCGGACCAGGATCGATAAGTGGAAGTCATAAAAAAGCATGTTAGCTTAAAATACATACAATGGCTTAAATGTCATATCAATGTCACAGTTTTCTCTCTGATATTAACTCCAGAATTCTATGCTTCAGGGGCCATGGAGGGAAAGAAGCTATCGTGCAAGTTAAAGTAATACGATCACGTGACGTAGGAGTTTCATCTACCTGCTAGGATGTGCATTGAAGCGAGCCAGAGGTAACTTTCCAAGTTAAGGATGTCGTAGACATTTTACGGCTTCATCATAGCTGAAGTAATAGAGTCGAACTTATATAGATCGTTGCAAGTTCTGGGAATACCGTCCAATCTTCGTAATATATTCATTGACCTGTAGACAAGCCTGGTGAATGATTGAATTCATAAGAGGAAAAATGTTGTGGACTACGGAGGCTTGGGCTTTGTTATGGTGTTTGTGGCTCGAAAGAAATCGAACAACCAAAGCCTACCGCTAGCAAATAGTCCGTTTTGGCCTGTGACATGTCACTATCAGTCTCACGGTTTTAAAACATGTCTGCTTGGGAGAGGTTTCTATACCCTTTTTAGGAATGCGGCGTTCCCCTCTGCCCCCGATGTGGGATCTCACATAGACCTCCCATTTTTGTTCTTTTTGTACTAATTCATATTGTACGCTCTGGTAGTGCACGAAACATAGCAAATTCTACTGTAATTACAGCTGATCCTTTTGAACTGGAAAGCTTTTTTGTAGGCTTTTCGGAAGGGGGTTTCCTGTTCCCCATTGCCTTTGGCTGTCTTTCTGTGCCTTATGCCTGAAGTTGATGCTTTTACGCTGTTTCCTTCTATCAAATAGTTGCTACCCCAATTAGGATGGTCAAGAGTTACGGGGAGGAGTTCGATTTTCGGACTTTTATGAATCTTATCCGATCCCGAACTCTTTAGGGTCGGCTTTTGAGAGCATATTGTTCAACCACAAAATTTTTGTGCGAGATTCTTTGCATCATACCTTTCACTAAGTTATAAGTAAAATTTTATAGAGAACAAAATTGTCATTTATATAGTCACAGTCGTGGTCTGTTGCTACTAGAGTCATGGTCGCTCGATTGAGTAGTGATGTATGTGCGAGGGACGAGGCCTTTATTTATCCCATTTTAGGCAATTTCTCAATTAAAAATTTGAATCAAGGTGAGAGGATATATAGTAAAAACTATTAATTAAAATTTTATAATTCGGAGGAAAATAGCAAGGCTAAATTAATTAAAAAATATTTTTAAATCTTAAAATTTAAAAATAAATAAATCTTGATATTTAAATTTTAAATTTTTTTTTATTATTTTAATAATGTCTTCCACTATTCAAAAATACCCATAAACTTATAAAAAGTAACATTAAGTTTTCACGAATATTTTCGAAATATGGTATTGGAGTATTTTGTTTTTTTATTTTATTTTAATAAAGTATATTTTTTTTTATTCAAAACTAAAAATAAATGTAATTTTAAATTTTTTTTAAAAATTAAAAATATTATTGTTTGTTTGTTTGTTTTTTTTTTTAAGCAAAATACAAAACTTTTATTTATTTATTTATTTATTTATTTAGCTTAATTAAACTTTATCTCCCATCTTCTCAAGCCGTGGTGATCAAGAATCGAATTAAACTTACTTCTTCTCAATCCGTGGTGCTGAAGATTCTCGGAGAGAGACTTGGAGCTTCGAAAATGGGTGGGGTATGGAGAGGCGCGTCTGGCGAATTGGATTCACCCGCCGGCGACGGTGTTACGTCTAATAATCCCAGCACTTGGTCTTCCGGCGATCGATGTTCGACTAGAAAAGTGGTGAAGTCGCAGTGCAAGACGGAGGAGGTCGAGCCCGGGAAATTCGTCAGGAAGTGCGAGAGAACCGAGGAGATTCTCAGAGACTGCATCGGAAGGTATGTGCATCCGTGTTCCTCTGATTTCTGTTGTCCTGTGATAATTTATTTTAACCTAACTGTTATTGTCTTTCGAATTAAGATCTTAGTTTTCTACGGAAGTGTGAAGAAAAGAAAATTGGTTCGTTCTATTTGTTGTTGGCAAAGAGAAATTGTTAAACGTAGGTTTCGTTTCTTTATTTGGAATCAAATTGGTGTGATCCACATGGCTATTCCTAAGTTTGATTTCTTCTTTATTGTTTAGGGATATATCGTAGTTCTAAATTTTGAAGTATAATGTGCTAGGCTAAGGCTGATTCCTACGACTTGTTAAGTGAACATCTGTTTGATGCGTTGAAAATTCCGAGCCATTTGGGCGGTTTAATTTCTGATTTTGTTGCCGTGATTGGTTGTTTTAATGGAATCTTAGAGGGATGGACATTGAAATTGGAAGGTGCTAGGCTTACTGTTTGACATGTGAGTGATGATTTTTCTTGGGTTATTTGTATTGAAGGTTGAAGAATCATGACTTACCGGTTACCTCATAATTTTGTTCACTATGTTTTTTGGCCTAAATGACCAACATATAAGAATATTGATTTTTTCTTCTTGGTTATTTCACACACACTCACTTTCATTTCGGGTTCCTTCTGTCGAATTTTCTTCCAAATTTTGATAATTCATCACATAGAAAATGTAGATGCTTGCAAGGGACCGGAAAGAATCAAAATTTCCACACCCATTCAACATTTCATCCTAATAATTGTAAAAGCTTCTCTGGTGGTTTATATTCTTAAAGCACATCATATGAAAATTTTACAGTGTCCTCCCATGAAGGGACCTAGCAAATGAATAAATAATGTGTTTAACGTTCACTTTCTTAAAGTGTATGGGTTTCATAATTTGAGAATGTGTTTTGGAAGATGAGAATGAGAGTAGAAACTGAGAATGAGAGGAAGGAACAGATAAATGAAAGAAGAGACAAAAACTGAGTAGAAACTGAGAATGTGTTTTGGAAGATGAGAATGAGAGTGATGAAGGGGCATATGAAATAAGAGGGTTGAATGTGCTTTTTCTATCGTTCCTTAAGCGAAGTGCAACATCTCTAAACAATTAAAGTGAAAGAATGTAGCTGAGGTTATTTAATATATAAGAGCTCCTTCACTTTAAAATCTCTTCTGCGTTGTGATATAGAAAGGCAGGTTTAGGAAAAATATGTTTCTTGGATGGAAAATTATGAAGATGACCGAGGAATGCATTTCCTGGATTGCACTTGTGCTGGCTCGGTGTTTGATGGTTGAATGACTATGACATGATTGGAACTCATTGGTTAGTGCCTTGAGCCTCATGTAGTAGAATCCATGCATCATATATTGGAAAATATTGATTAGCCCTTAGATGAATGGTGATTAGGAACTTGAAGGGCAGTGTCTGGGAATATTTTTTCTGAGCCTGCCAGACGGAAGCTATTAGAACTCGTTAATGTTGTACATGGTCGGTTGCAAACTTGAAAATGATAAATTTTTTAACCTACATTGATGCTGCTTTAATTGCATGGAAGATCAAGTTGGAAAATATAGTAATCCCTTGCTTACATCGAATTCGAGCAGCCATCTACCGTGACAAAAACCGCCAGAAAGCCTTCCACTTGATATGTTGTAAGAGGATCACATGATATGATATTGGAGCTAGGAGTGAGGAAACTCTTTTCATTTATCGGATTGAACCAGGTGCTTTTGCTTCTTTAATGTGCTATGCTAAATTCTTAACACACGATGACTTCGGTTTTTGTGTTACCATGTTTTGATAGTATGAATGTATATCATTTGATAGATAGAACCCAAAGTGGAAAATTCATTTATAAAAGAACACATGTAAGGAATTTAAGAGCTCTTCCACCCCCCTCCAATCTATCAAAACCATCAGGAACTTGTGTCCTCTAGTTACTCATCTTCCCTTTTTTAAAATTACTTGCTTCTGGTTAGTTACTTTAGGCCTCTAGGTTGCTTCCCTGCTCCAACTGTTCTCCCCTTTTAGTTCAATTAAAGTGAGCTGAAGAGCTACCTATCAACTATACGAGTCATATGACTAAGTCATAGTTGCTTTGTTTCTTTACAGGCCGGTCGAAGTGATACAGTCCAATAGGGAATTTACAGAAGAGGATGTAACGAATGAGGTGGTTAATAATAGGTCATTCTCGTCAGGATCATCAGAATATCAACCATTTAATTTCCCTGGACTTCGCAGCGATATTGAAGCCATTGAACACAGCCTCTTCGGTAGCATGAAGGGGTTCTTTGATGCAGCTGAAGAGATTAGAAATGGTTTCTTTGGCTCTTTCAGAGATCCACCCCTATTCAGCAGAGAGCCTTCGTCCTCCCCATCGATGAGACAAAACGAGCCCGACTCCGGTCACGTTGACCTATCTGGATTGGCCAGGGATGTCTGATTACCCAGAATGAACCCGATCGTCCTTTCTTTTACAGATGTTAGATACAACAAGGACAGTATATCATCATTATCGTGGTGGATGTAGAATTGATAATCAGTGGAATAAATGTTTTTCCAGTCTAAGCATTGTTATCCAATATGTGCTCATAGATATTGACATATTGGTTGATTATGTGTGGAATCTGACTTTTGAGTGGTGCAAAATGGTTGGTTTTGAAAAACCAACCAAGCTTTTAGTTGTAAAAAGCTTTACTTTTGTAATGCATGAACTTAATAGGAAGAATCTTTTACGTTCATAGTGGAGGGGGCCACTGACCCAGTTTATCTTTTGTATATGATAATGATAGTCTACCATTTAATCCATAAACTAGTTTAATGCACCAAACATTATTTTCCTTGCAATGGTTAGAATTAAAAAAAAAAAAAAAAAAAAAAAGTTATAAAGAAATCATGGAAATGCATAGGACTGCTTTAATTTATATTTGGTTTAAATACTACTTTGGTCCGAATAATTCAGGCTTTGATCTATTTTAGATTATATACTTTCAAAAGGGCTATTTGGTTTTTTATACTTTTGAGTCTTTTATATTTCACTTTTTTTCTTAATTTCATAAATTTGTTAAATGGTTTCAATTATGTGAAGTTTATATAAAAACTAACCTAAACGTTTTGAAAGGATAATGATGTATTAAAATAATATTAAAATTTAACATATCTCATCGATCATTCTAATTAGAATTTAGACTAATATTATTGATATCACGCTAACATCTCCTTCCATTCAACAAAGAAATGCACGATGTAACCCATTTAATTATTAAGTTGAAAATTAAATTTTCACTCTTTTTTTTCCATATTGATAAATTCTTTAATAATAATTAATATATTTTGCACATACAAAGAATTGGGTATTTGTGAAGAAATGGCTCTCCAATTTGATTCATCAAATATGTCACTGTTTTTTTGTGGGCTTTTTTTTTCCAAAACTTTGATTTGGTCCTCGTAATGACTTTGCACGTTTCTCAAGAAAACAACCGAACAAACGGAGTTGATTTGACTGGCAATGAAATCTTAAAACTTATAGATATCGATGTCCATGAATATT